ATTAAAAGGAGCTGAGGGCCGGGGATTTAGCTCAGCGGTGCTGCCGCCTGCGTCACAAGCGTAAGGTCCTGAGTTCGATCCCCGGAACCAAAAAAAAAAAAAAGGAAAAAGCATATAGTCAAGCCCTTAAATCTGAAAAGAAGGTACCTATATATTTCTAAAAGCTTTAAAAGTATAGTTAACTAAGTGATAAGTAACCAGATTTTCAAACATTTCCTCAAATAGTTTTACCTGAATTAATAAGTAGAAAGAGTTTTCCTCTTTTTAATTCCAGCGTGATATGATCACCACTTGGACCTGCTCTGTGGAGTAGAATCCCATCACTCTGCATGGTTTTAAACTTCAAGGAAATAATATCTTTTACTGGGCTCAGGGATTTTTGATCAAATCTGTACAGAAGGGAACTTTTTCCATCAAGATCAATCACCTCTGATCCTAGAGACAAAGATATTAGAAGTCATTCTAAGGCTAGATATGCTTTTCATTAAAGCATTTTACATGTGTATGTGGCTCTGTGTATTAAATATGACTCCTCAGCATCTCATTCTCTATTGAAACCCAGGAAAGATTCCATTTTAGTCTTTACTAACTTTTAAAAAGTTAAAAATCTATAACTACATTTTAAAGTGTATACTTAATTTTCTCTATATTATTCAAAGCTATTTCTTCTCAAGCCACAAAAAAATAGAAAATTAGTTAAAAGATTCTAATTAATACACATAAAATAACTGTATATTTCATGATCAATATTTTTAACAATGTTTTTGAAATGTTGAAATTAAATGTTTTGGGGGGCTCTGGAAAAAAAGTGATTTGATGTTTCAAAATTCTTTCTATATAAGAGATCCACACACAAATTACATGCATAGTCTAGACATAAAATACTACTTCAAGCACACATTATACTGAGCTTTGTGTTTTGTCTTATTATATCATTTTCATGGCTAAATGATAGTATTTAAGGACAGTGCTACTTCATGCCTTCTCCAGGGTGATGTTGGAAAGGCATTAACTTAATGATATTGTAAGGTTTATTCCACTGCATTTGTGTCATAACTGTGACACTGACATGTTTTTCAGCTTTCTGACAGTGTCTTACCTACTCATTGTCAAGATCACTCTTATTCAGTTCATCTGAAAAAAGATGTCATGTTACACCAGTAATATAAAGTACATCTGTCAAAATCAGATGCACCCTGAACAAGGGACCCGAAGAAGAACTGATAATACTCAGAAGTTATGGCAGTATTTTCTACATTTTCCTAAAGATTCTTTCTAAGTCAATTGTCCTTGAGAGTACATTTACGTAATAAATGAAGATGTTAAAGAAACGCACTCTAATATGAAGCTATTTTTCAACTGGTAAGCTGACTTCTGATTAACAAAATTATATTACAGCTTCCTCATTGCCTTTCATTTGATAAAATTAATACAGCTACTTATATGCCCAAATATGTATTTCATTCAGAATATCCATCCTGTTTTGGAAACCATTGATAACCACCACCACCCCAAATTTTTTCAACTATTTTATGCAGTTATCTTTTGAAAATTCAGAGATTTGATCTTTTTACATCATGCTAATGCACTTATAAAGAATTCATTCACTGAGTATACAGGAATAAACTTCGCATTCTTTAGAAAAAATAATATTAACCCAACAATTATTCCTTGTTACACAGCTGAATGAATGTTCACAATAAAAACATGATTCTGCATCAAATACAAATGATGTGTTCTATGATTATTAGATTATAATAAATTAAGAAGAATTTCAGTAAGACAGACTTTTAAATGCTGACACATTTGGAGCAATGCAGTTGTTTCCGAGCTAATGTATCGCTTAAAGGCAACCATCACAGTAATGATTTTATTTTAGACGAAGACAATTTTTGGAATTAGCTACGGAGAGATTTTTTTTCCCCATAAAATTTTAGCCTATGTTACTTTTGCCCACTATTTCTTTTTTCTCTTTTTTAAAAATTATTGTTATTATTACATTTTAATGATCATATTCATCTTCTGTGGCACCTAAACCTTTTGGGCTTGGAATATTTCCATCAGCAAAATAGGGTAGTGAAATAGATATTGGACAAGTGAGGCCTAAAGCAAAAGTACATTGTTTCATCCTACAACCGAAGCCACTTGCCATCTCTGATTCTTACCCACTTTATACTTAACAGGGATATCACTATGCAACTAGATGAATATAATCAAGAAAAATTTATTCAGCTCATCTTGTTTGAGGTATTGTGCTGAGTTCATGTGGTAAACCTGCCTTCATGTAGCTCAGACTCAGAAAAGATGGACAATATCTAGCAAGTGAGCAAATAAGTTCATAAAACCATTATGGATTGGAACAGACCTTTGAATCAGGAAGTATGACCCCGTGATAAGGTTGTTAATAAAGGTCTCTCTCAGGTCTCAAGTCTAGAACCCTCATCTTAGTAATCTCATTACTTGCTACAGTCTTCAAGTTCTATAACTTGTCTGCATAAACTACTTTGTTCTTGGAACATTAAGAGGCCTACACAATTCTCACAATATGGCCCCAGTCATTGTTATGAAAGAAAGTTTTGAGGATTGCTGAGAAATGACAGTGATGGGAGTTAATCCAATGCTCAGGGGCCAGGGATTTAGTTCAGTGGTTCCGCTGCCTGCTTTGAAAGCACAAGGACCCAAGTTTGATCCCCGGTACCAAAAAAAAAAAAAAAGTTAAAAATGGTGAGTTACAAAA